TTCAGGTAATAAACTATTTGTGTGCCAAATTATTACATTCAAACTAGTCTGATCCTTTTGGCGTGATGGAGGAACAAACAAACATTCAAACTTTTGCGTTTATTATAGTTTGATTAGTGTGAGTATGATTACTGAGTCTAATTTATTGTCTAACAAACAAGCAAAAATTCTTTAATTAGTATTTTTCTTGTTTAATAATTCCCGGGAAATAATTGTAACATTAATAATAGATAGTTAAATTATAAAAACAAAAAAACGACTGCTTAAAAGTAATGAACTGAAAACATAGGTATAACTTTTAGGTATAATTTCCTTTATTTGGATACCCCTATAGATAGCTTGAGTAAAAAAAATTAAGGACTTAACATTTGGCGACAAAAACACAAACACGGGTGTTTGCGACGAATCACACGAAAGAATCCTTTTCTAAATAAGCGCCACATTATCGATATTAAGTATAGTCGCAGCACTACGTCAAGCCGCCATCTTTGTGCCAGACTCAGCTTAGGTATACACGTTTTTTTCGTAGGTATGTCATGTCCTTTCTTTCTTCTCTAGTCAAAGGTAAAAATCCGTCTCAGGCACGTCGTCAATCACTAACATATTAGTAAATAAATAGGTGACGTTACTGGATAACAGAGGGCGCCTATTACAATAATTTTTCTTTCTTCTAGATCAATCTACTACTAATAACAAAATTTAAAAATTATTTGGTAAATATACATTATTCTTACGACACTAAACCGAAATCACGTTCATTTCTTGCTCCATATCGTGACTTACAATACCTTAATGCATAACCGGGCATATTTTCTCTAAAAATATTTTTTAAATTTATTAAACAAATGCGTCTTGACGATGTCTTCTTCTGACGATGTCACTAAGACTAAATGACAAAAATCGGAGATATATCTTATAGGACAAAAGTTACAGACGACAATTTTGTTGCTGATGTCCGGTTTATTACTACTACTTAAATGTCTTTTTATATTATATACCTTGTATATGCCGTATATTTAAATGCCTTGTATTATTATATATGTATATGCCTTGGTTGCCGCGCTTGGAAGGCGTGTTGACTACCATTTGCCTTTAATTTTAAAAAATGAACAATAGTATATCATATACGTATTACCTAATATAACTACCTTAATTTAACAGTGGTAGAGCCACGCGGCAGCTTTGCTGTTGCACGTATGGGCCGGCTCAAACCGGGGTGGTACCACGACCTCACAGAATACCGGCGTGAAGTGGAAGCTCTGCTTCCGCGTTTCGTCTGGTGAGTGCAGGTGGCCGGAGGTCCAAATCTCCCCCCCCCCATCAACATGGTAGCGGAATTAAATAATGATTCACTACCCCAGGAGGGTACCAGCACCCCTGGAGAATCCCTCGCTGAGCATCCACGACCATGTTTCTCCACTTCTGAGCGTGGGTGCTCAGGCTGCCCCGCGTATTCTGGGGGGGGGGGGGCAAAATTCCGCTCAAGACAACTGCTCGGGGCAAACGGAGCAACAAGACCAAGACGACCCCTGCCACGCTGTCCGTGAATTTCTGCAATATCAGGGGACTTCACTCTAACCTAAACGCCGTCCACTACCATCTCGAGACGGCGAGGCCGGCTCTGCTCTTTCTGACCGAGACGCAGGTGTCCTCTCCGGCTGATGTCTCGTATCTCTCCTACCCGGGGTACAAACTGGAACACTCCTTTGTGCCTCGGGCTGGAGTTTGCGTTTACGTCAGAGAAGACATCTGCTCTCGACGCCTCGGCAGACTTGAAGGTTCGGACCTGTCCATCCTTTGGCTACGCGTAGACAGCGACGACCATCCGCGCGTCTACGGGTGCCTCTATAGGTCCCATAGCGGTAATGCCGAAACCGACCGACTATTCGACCACGTCCAAATGGCTGCAGATTCGTTGCTACAGCAGATCCCCTCCGCAGAGATCGTGATCCTCGGCTGACCTCTCACCCGGACGGATATCAGATTTCCGTCGACGCCCCTTTAGGCTCCTTGGACCATTGTCTGGTCCGGAGTGTGGTGCCAATCACGCTGAAATCGCGGTTGCATTCTGCAGGCTGCCGCCGTGTTTGGCACTATAGGTCAGCCGATTGGGATGGGATGCGGTTTTTCTTTGCATCCTACCCTTGGGGGCGGGTTTGCTTCTCGCCGGATGATCCCAACGTTGTTGCGGATTCTGTTGCTGATGTGGTACTTCAGGGTATGGAACTTTTTATTCCTTCCTCTGTGGTGCCCATTGGAGGCAAGTCTCAGCCATGGTTTGGTCGCTCCTGTAAAATAGCATCATGCTATAAGCAGGAGTGCTACCAAGCCTGGGCTGATGCATCAGCGTCCCGGGATGTAAACACCAGCGCTTTAAAAAAGAAGTATAATTCCGCCTCTAGGTCCTTCAAAAGAGTCATTGCCAAGGCAAAGTCAGAGCACATAGGCAGAATTGGCGAGAAACTAGTTCGCCTTCCTTCTGGAACCCGTGCATTCTGGTCTCTCGCCAAGGCTGTCCAGGGGAATTTCTGTCAGCCATCTCTTCCATCTCTGCACAGGGAGGACGACTCACTGGCCCATACCGCAAAGGAGAAAGCCGATCTTCTAGGCTCTTTCTTTGCGTCTAACTCGACTCTCGATGACGGGGGGAGTACTCCGCCGACCATCCCGCGGTTTGAGTGCTCCATGCCGGAAGTGCACTTCACACAGCGCTCGGTTCGCAAAGCACTCCTCTCCCTGGACATCCACAAGTCGAGTGGGCCTGACGGAATCCCCCCAATTGTGCTGAGGACGTGTGCTCCAGAGTTGGCACCGGTCTTAACGCGTCTTTTCCGATACTCCTACTCCCTAGGCGTAGTCCCAAAATCATGGAAGACGGTTTACGTCCACCCGATCCCTAAAAAAGGCGACCGCTCTGACCCGTCCAACTATCGGCCAATCGCCATCACCTTTTTGTTCTCCAAAACAACGGAGTCCATTGTAAACTGCCAGCTCATGAGGTACCTTGAAGATCACCAGCTGATTAGTGATCGCCAATACGGTTTTCGCCGTGGTCGGTCAGCTGGTGATCTTCTGGTCTACCTAACTCACAGATGGGCGGAGGCAGTAGAGTTCAAGGGGGAGGCATTGGCCGTTAGTTTGGACATTGCGAAGGCCTTCGATCGGGTTTCGCACAAAGCGCTTCTTTCGAAGCTCCCTTCCTATTGGCTTCCCGAGAAATTGTGCGATTGGATCACCAGCTTTCTTGCAGATCGGAGCATCAAGGTCGTTGTAGACGGTGCAAGCTCCGATTGCAAGCCTATTAATGCTGGTGTTCCACAGGGCTGCGTGCTATCGCCAACGCTGTTTCTTCTGCATATCAATGACATGTTGCATACCCGTAACATTCATTGCTATGCAGATGACAGCACTGGTGATGCTCTTTACACCGACCGAGCCAATATTTCTCGGGAAAACGTCTCCAAGTGCCGGGACAAACTTGTGTCTGAAGTCGAGTCTCTTCTGGACAGAGTCTCGGATTGGGGGCGACTAAATCTAGTCCAGTTTGACCCCCAGAAAACACAAGTTTGCGCGTTAACCGCTAAAAAGAACCCTTTTGTCGTATCCCCTCAGTTTCAAGGCACTCCCCTTGTTGCCTCAGCCAGTATCGGAATCCTCGGCGTCGACATATCGAGTGACGTGCAGTTTCGTGGTCACTTGGAAGGGAAGGCCAAATTGGCCTCTAAAAAAGCTTGGCGTGCTCAGCAGAGCGGGACAGTATTTCATGCCGGCACACCGCCTGCAACTTTACAAGGCGCAGGTTCGGCCGCACATGGAATACTGTTCCCATCTCTGGGCTGGGGCTCCCCAGTACCAGCTTCTTCCACTTGACCGCATCCAGTGCAGAGCGGCTCGAATCGTCGACGACCGAGTGGTTTCCGATCGGCTCGATTCACTGGCGCTGCGAAGAGATGTTGCATCTCTTTGCGTATTTTATCGCATCTATCACGGGGAGTGCTCTGAGGAATTGTTCGGATTAATCCCAGCCGCCAAATTTCGTGAACGCACTACACGTCAAACGTCCCGATACCATCAACACCATCTGGATGCTTGGCGGTCCACCACTGTACGTTTCACAAGGAGTTTTCTTCCACGTACAACCTCTCTGTGGAATAGTTTACCACCGGCAATTTTTCCGGACCGATACGACCTGGGGACCTTCAAGAAAAGAGCTTACCCCTTTCTAAAGGGCCGGCAACGCACCTGCAATTCTCCTGGTGTTGCGGTTGATCATGGGCGGCGGTAGTCACTTAACATCAGGTGAGCCGCATGCTCGTTTGCCCCTTCTTCTATAAAAAAAAACCTTTACAATACAAAAGAATATATGAAAATTATGTTGTCACTACAAGTATAGGCTATAACTTATATTGGTACTTAAATGCTGTCCAAATAATTATGTCAAAATAAACATTACATAGGGTTATGTCCATAATTCCCCGGCATGTATATTACAGTACTCAGTTACGTACATTATAATTTTATGCGTATTTTGTTCTCAAGGATATTAGTCTGACTTTATCGTGTAAAAAAACAGCGTGCCTATCAGTATAGTCTTTATTTCAATCGAAAATGTTTGAAAGATTGAATATATAATTAGCAAATTCATATGATTTTCTGATCTTATCTCTTTTGATTTATAAATTAAAACATTAGTTGTAAATTTAATTAAAAAATGTACAAACAAATTTTTATTTGCGAACAATAACGAAACTACGATTAAATAATTAAAAATAAAAATAAAACAGAAATAATCCAAGTCAGCTGCTACTTCTTATTAGTTTGTGGTCTATAGTAGTCTATAACACAGAGTACATCTCATCAATAATTTGATAGAGTAGAATAGAATCCACTAGTTAGCCTGTGCATTAATAGTTTATGGTCTGCGAACATCAGCTGAAAATTGTCGTGTTTATGCGTACAAATTTGTGTTTATTTATATATTGTTGCAAGCGATAGGCATAATGGCAACAGGAGTAAAACCTCGTGACGATGAAACAATTCTTACGAGAGCGGATCTGGAGACTATCCAAGAAGCTATGAAAAGTAAGACGTTTCGCGATATGCTGACTGAATACTGCGACGAAGTACGTGACCCGGCGAATCAAGCTCTCTTTCAGAAAGAAATGACCCAACTAGAAAAGGAACGTGGCTATGATATAACATTCATTAATCCAAAAGGTGGCTATGTTATTAAAACAAGCGTCGCTGGCGATAGAAAAGCATTTATTAACATTTGTAGCAATGAGCACATTGGTAAACCGTCATATACCGTTGAAACCCTAAATGGTCAGAAAGGTATGAATTGGCTAATTCCGTATTCCTTGATCCCTCCTAGAGAAGATTTCGATAACAAAAATCAGCGGTGTGTGATTTATGATGTTGTTTTCCACCCTGACACTTTGCGCATGGCAGAGGTTAACGAACGATTTCGTGAAATTGTAAACAAAACTGCCTTAGATGGTTTACAAACTACCTATAATATACATTTGGATAGTAACAACTGCCGTTTTCCTAAGTCATTATATAAGGGAATGATTACTCCCGCAGTTGTAAGAAAAGAAGACCCTTCTTATAAACCTCCAACTGAAGAAGGCACTGAGGAAATTTCTCAAGAACTTTTAGAAAAATTGTACCCTCAACATAATTACCCCGAAAATATTGAAAAATCATCAGGTAGTAGTGAAGTAAAATTAAAGGAAAAAAGAAAAAAACAAATTAACAAAGAATTTACAGATGTTATATATGACGGATATACAGTACCAAAATATATTTTAAAACAACAAAAAAATGTAGACTTTCAGGAGTATACTTACCACAAAGATTGTAAGCAATATTCTGCTATACCAAGTCATTTGGTGGTGGAGATTAACCTACCTTTGATCTCTTCTACTAAAGATTGTGTCTTAGATGTTGAGGAAAAATCATTAAGCTTATTATCAGAAAAACCTGCTAAATACAAACTTAATTTGACACTTCCTTATTCAGTAGATAATAAGAGTGGCAGTGCCAAATTTGATATAACACAGCATGTGCTAGTTGTGACTCTACCAGTTATTAGAAATATGGAATTTAATAGTAATATAAATTTGTTAAAAACAGACAGTGGTATAGAATGTGAAGAAAATTCTGGATCTCAAAGTGAAGAGGAGACTTATAAGGAAAAAAATGTTACAGAAATAAGCTCAGTGAATGAAAATTCAGATTTAAAGTCATCTGTTTTAGAAAAAATGATAAATGATGAACCTTTCTTACAAGCATCTATTGTATATGTACTACCTCCATATACACATAACTTATTAGATGATGTTATAGCATTTACTTTCCATGTTAAAAATACCGAACCAGATTCAGTGGTGGTGAAAAATGACGGTAGTGAAATTTACATTAAGTTTACATCAATTGGATCAGGATTTGTACCAGTGCATTATGCTGCTATTATTGTGTTTGATGAAAATATTAAATTTAAGAATCTTTCTGGGGAAGCATGGGATAATAATGTGATCCTTCAGTTAGAAGTAGATGGTGATATTCCCCAAAAATTCCATCTTGGCTTGAATAAGGGTACTATGAATACTGAACACTTTGATGTATCTCAGCTGAAAAAGACTCTAGAGGTTAAACAAACAACTGAGATTGCTAACCCTCAAGAGAATATTAAATCTCCTACTGTTGAAGTTACAAACTTGGGATCAGAGACCAATATTGTAGTTTCTTCTAGTTGCAGTAAGGGGGGATGAATGTCATAAAGGAAAGGAAATTGGTTGGACAGATTCTGGTCGATGTGAAAATGGTGCTAAAAGTATTCTTCGTAAATCATTGTCAATGACGCATAGCTTTTCAGAGTCAAGCATGGGAGATGTTGCATCATCTATGGACTATATAAGCTCTGATTGCATCCCAGAAGAATCTAGCTTAAAAAAGACTGTTAGGTTTAATGATGTTATTGCTAGGCAGTTTTACAGGTTAGTGTTTATTCTTTTTAATTGTAGAGTCCGTCTGTAGACTTGAGAAACAGGCTAATAAAAGGAGTCAGAGAAGCTGAACTTATTGAAAACTTAACATTGTAGATTCAAATCTACCATTTGATTACTTTTATGAACCACCACATAGACTCAATTTTAGTGGTTACAAGAAATATAAATTATGCATTGCTAGTATATCTTTTAAAATAAAGCCCTACATATATGTAACTCACTGTTTAGTTACTGGTTTAAATCCACCACAATTTACTTACATCTTACCTGTCTATTTAAGAGTAATGTTTAATATATGATTGTTGTTTACTTTGCAGTTTTCTGGATGTCTTATCTAAGTTTATTACTAAGTTTATCCTGATCTAATTGCAGTTGATAAATTAGGTTGTCCAATTTGTTGATTTGCTAAATATATTTGGGTAATGACTGGAGAAGTAGAAAACCTTGCTATATCTAGTAAATTAGGAAGTCTGAATAATAATTAAAATAAATATGACTTCTTTTAAATTTATTTTTTAGTATATTGTAGGTACTATGTAAATTAATGCATCAAATGTACTTTGGCAAAAAATAAAATACATAACTTTGTATTTTCAGATATAACTCCTCTATAGAAGGTCAAAAAAAGAAAAACCAAAGGAAGAAGAGTAAAAAAAGAAGCCAAGAAAGGCGCAAAAGTGAGAGCGAGGCGGAGGAAGAAACAAACATTTCATTTAAGGTAAAAAATTATTATTAATTAATTAGTAAAAAATTAAATATCTGGGTAGCAAGGCTCCTTTTGTGCCTAGAAGGCCACCCTGATTAGAATACCATACTCTTATCTATTCGTAACTAACATACACTGCTACGTTTCAGTCTGAAGTTGAAGTTATCAAGAGCCAGTATGATTATCAGCTTAGTTCTCAAAAGTATAGCCAGTTTCACACGTGGTAGAGACATGCTGCAGATAAATTAGTAGTATAGTTGTAGCTCGAATGGGTCGGCTCGACCGGGGAAGGACCACGCTCTCACAGAATACCAGCGTCAAATAGTAGCTTAATGCTGCTGTGTTTGTGAGTGTAGAGAACCGGAGACCCTTTTTACTGGAAACGAGGCATGCCATCTTAGCCCTCACGGGTGCCAATGCATCTGCATTTTGATTTGTAATCGAGGATAGATGTCTATGGACCACAGCAACCAGTTACCATCAGGTGGACTGTGTGCTCGTTTGTCACCTTATCCTATAAAAAAGTACACCTTTGTAGCTTAACCTTGTAAAAAAATTATTGGTCTTTATTACCATAGCATTATGTAGCAAAAATATGGTGTGTTATGTTATTACATAGCAAATTTTTAAAATTGTTGAAATTTACATTTCAGACGTCTAAACCAAGACTAAAATCTGTTCTAAAGCAAAGAAGAGACAGTGGGTTAGCTGACACATCTGATGCTGAAGCTGAGTGTAAGAATTTACGATCAGACTCTGAGATTTCTTGTGATAACGGCTGCTCAAATAAGAAGAATAGAGAGGATGCCATCAATAAAAACAGTAAAGAATGTTCTCAAAACAACATGGATAAGAATGGAAACTCAAGCAACAAATTTGAACAGCATTTATCAAAAAGTAAAAAACAAACAACTACTGAAATTAAGAAACCCTTAAATCCAGTTACATGTGATAACATCAAACATAATACTGATCTTTACAATCCTGACAAATTAAATAAAGGTCAATATCAGGAAGTTGATTTTAAAAATGATCTCATATTTGATTTAGATATGTAAATATATGCAATAATTTGTTCCCTTATGTAATTAATGGAAAAATTTTGAAATAATAGCATATTGTAAAACACTAGTGTCTTTTGTTGTGTAGATTTTTGAGTTTGGATTCTTATTTCTTAGAGCCTTTCCATTATGTCAAATGTTCCTTTGTCCCACAACATTTCTTAATTTTATGTAGGTTAGAAGAGTTTATGACGATGGTTTTAAATTATGTTAATTCTTAAACATTTTGAATTGTGTGAACCCTGTGTTCAAATTTTGTCAATTAATGTTTATTAATATATTATGAATGGGAAATCAAATTATGTTACTGCTGTTTTTACATTTTAAAACAAAAACTAGTTAAAATATTTATTACAACTTGCTCATTCTAGACAATACTTCATAGACATACATTGAAATGGTACAAATTAGGTGTTATTTGTCATTTGCTGTGTTATTTATTAAAATGTCTATCTCTAGACTAATTATTTGATACTGCACTTGTATACACTTAATAGATTCGTAGATATGATTACACAAACATAAAATTATACTTTGGGTTAATAATTTAATTAAAAATATTACAAATCATTTTGTGTAATACTTTCATTTTGTTAAATTAAGATATGGGCCGGCCACAATTATATGGATAATTGTTGCTCAATTCTTATTAGTGCCTTTATATATAAAATTTTAAATACTTTGTATATAAGTAGATTGCTGTATCCATTCATAAAATCAAATATAGAAATTTGAGAATGAGCTATTGCCATAAGGTCATAAGCCATGCATTTAATTTTCTTAGTATGTAACAATAATTTGTAGTTATGTTTTAACAAGAAGTTTAATCACACTAATGTGATGTTTTAAGTATTGATTTAATAGAAAGTCATATTTATAGCGTCTTTTATTTATTTACAAATAAAGGAAAAACATTTCAATAACTAGGAGATTGTCATAATTGTTCTCTCTGTTCTCTGTTCACTGCTGGTTACTTATCTCACTTTTTCGCCCTCACGGCCATCAGACTGGAAGAACATCTCTCTTGACATTAAAAAAGCTGCTTACAAGTTTGTTTTTAAAATCAAGTCCGTAAGCATGTGAAAAAATCGTTGCAAGTTTGAACTAACACAGCTCTCATTTTCATGTATACTTCGCAATTTTTTTCTCACATAGATAATATTTATCTGTTTATATATATATATATATATATATATATATATATATATATATATATATATATATATATATATAATATTTTAACCCTTTCTATTTTGATTATTGCTGTGCCGCCTCTTATATGTCTCTCTCAGTTTAGCCTAATAGTTGACTGAGAGAGAATGCCTTTGGCATTAAGTCCGTAATATGTACTACTTTGTGCATAAAAGTATAAATAAATAAATAAATAAAAACGTAGAACTCCAGTAGTATCCGTGATTATATCTTTAAATAATTTCTACTAATAAGTGCGAAAGTGTATTAGTTTGTCCTTTTACGCAACTACGGGGCACCTACACTACTATATTTTTACATAGAGTTTATGTCCTGGAGAGTGACAGGCCACTTATTAACTTATTATCCCAAAAAATGCTCGGTTCCTGTGAGATTGATCTGGAGCATTTTGCGATTATGTGGTCTTGGACTATATTTGTACTTGGAATATACTAATCTACGGATATTCCTTAAAGAAGAAAATTAAAAGAAAAAGAGTTGAAAATGTGCAAAAATTGAAGAGCAAACCACTGAGGCATGTTTATTAATATAAATTTTTTAATTAAATGACATTGTGTAACAAAAAACCTTCATTCACCTTAGTCCCAACTCCACCGAGTCAGTAATTCATTCATGTGCCGATGTATACGCTTTTACAACAAACTCCCAGAAAATATACAAAATTTGATCTCTCTCAAAGTTCAAAAACTTTATTAAACTAAGTTTGTACAAAAAATTATAGTATTAAGGAATTTATGGATGATAACCACTCGAAATGAGGTGATCGCTACCAAGTTATTTGTAATTTGTTTTGTTTTGATTATTTGTGTAATGTGAACATACATGATTGTAAACAGTAATTTTTTTTAAATAAAATAAAGTCCCGATGGGTTTTTTTGCTGGTTTTTCACAGATAGGACAATTACTACACTCTTTGTTACCAGGACAGATGTTTTTAATTAAACAAAAGAGTAACTTACAATAAGTAAGTACTATTTATAATCTATATAAAAAAGTTTGTGTTTCAAAATTAGCGACTCTGGCGAGAAGATTATTAGCCCTTGTTACTTCAAAGCTTCACACGTTGACTGCAATTAATTATTTTCCTGACTTACAGTGCGGTACAGGGAAAATATGACTTGTATACTGCCTAAAATCTAGTGTGTTACGAGGCATAAAAGACTTGTACAGATCCCTTCATTAACATTACTATATTTCCCCAATAAACCTAAGTAAGACCATTTTAGTAATAATAGAGGTTAGTTTAGGAGTAAAACTAATTTTTGCTGCGTAGCATCAGCGTTTATTAAGAATTTTAGAAAATACAAAGTTTTAAAAATCCCTGTCTTTTTTTACCTGGTATAGAGCCAGCAGAAAGAGCAACATACGAGATATCGACAAATAGCTATAACGATTTAACTAAAAGAAAATATCAATGATATCGATGATATCGATATTTTTCTTTTAATTAAAACATAATTATTTGTCGATATATTTTTTATTTTGTATCAGTTAAAAGAACAAAACAAAATGATATTGATTTCTGTGTTTTAATAACAAACAGTATTAGTAGCTGTATTATAATTATCACTACAAATTATTAGGTTCTTCACGACTATTCGAATGAGAGTAATTAATTTTATAAGATTGAGCACAATTCTTTCTTTTTCCTCCTTTCTGTAAAGTATCTATTTTCTTCGTAGATTCTGTGATGGCCTTAGTACTAGCGGTTGAAAATGGGCCCGATTTTGAAGTTTAGTGAGACACATTGGTAAAACCTAAAACTTGGATTTTCAACAATCTATTGGTTTTTTGCCGCCCATAAATTACGAAAGAAAGAAAATTTAACATTCTACGTGACCGTTTCGTTGTATTTAACTAATTATCAATATTCTATGAAAATATTGATTGATTTAAATAATTGACGTGAACAAAAAAAAAACGATACACCCTCTCAATCGATACATTAATCGCGTAACGCATTAACGCTTGCTGAGGGTGTTTTGCTTGCTCCTATGTTGCTACCTATACCATACAAGTGCGAACAAGTCGCATATGACTGGTACCGCACACAATAAATATTTTTACCTGTTGAGATTGCGTACAAGACAAAAATGACATATTAGACTTTAAGATTACAATTCCAATCATATATTTGTCTCTTCCCTACTTACAATATTTCATAGTAAAAGTACACCCGCACCGCCTGCAAAAACGAAACAACTAATTGACGCAGCCGCCGCAAATCACGTACAAGTCAAAACAATTATTTAGAAATACGTAGATAATGTTTATTGCATTGTAAACTTCAATGATAAGGAGGGAACGATAATACGTTAGCTCCATCACACCGTTACGTCCTGGGGATTTAGTAACACGTGACTATGGGAAACGCTAAAAAACCTAATGGCTTTCGATATTTGGCGGTATAAACATATCATTTAATATAATTAAAACATGGGCAGCAACGACACAGATGCGAGAAGTCGTGTATTGCAATCTCTACACTGGGAGAGGCCCGCGTCTTGCAGTAGACTTTAAAAGGTTTATGATGATGAAGAAGAATAGACAACTCTTTTGACATTTTTGGATGATAAAATAATGCGACGTAAGTCTTCAGTCTCTGACCCCTCCAAAGTATGCATCCGCTCCTGCAAGTTGCGTTATTTATTGTCCTTGCAGTGATGTATAGGTGTTTTCATTCACTAACGCCTATGAAAGTCTATTGCTGAACCTCGCATATGCAATATAAAAGTATCATTTAAAACAGGTGCCCAGTTAGTCAGTTTCTTATAATCAGGAACAGGACGATTTATTAAACAGTTTCCCTACAACCTTAAGTAACAAAAATTTTAGTAATAAAAGCTAATAATCTTACAATCTCATCAGATGTCGTTACTTGTGACCGAGGTAGGTAAGTTTTTTATTACATAATGTCATATACTTAGTTCAAATGTTAGTTTTTTTTATACATAGCATAGGGGTGCAAACGAGCACACAGTCCACCTGTTGGTAAGTGGTTGCTGTGGCCTATAGACATTACATCTATCCTCGATAACGAATCAAAATGCAAATGCGTTGTCATCCGTGAGGACTAAGATGGAATGCGTCGTTTCAAGTAGAAAGGGCGGTTCTCTACACTCACCAAACGAAACACAACAGTATTAAGCTGCTTTTTGACGCTGGTAGGTATTCTGTGAAAGCGTGGTCCTTCTCAGGTCGAGCCGACCCTTCGTGCTACAATTATATTATAGATGCAAAATGACTCTGCCACGTATAAAATCTATAGGTATTGAAGATTGATGATCAAAGTGGAAGATATTTTCTCTGTCGAATCGTTCAATTCATACAGCAGCCATAACATAGTTGCAGTGTGCCTGTCTTTATACGAAGAGAAACTTAAACTTTTTATTTTTAAAGAGAAACGCTAGATTATAGTAATAATAATAATAATAGACTTATCTATGCCCGTCAACTTAAGGGCCTTTTCCGAGGCTGAAACATACCGATACCTGGGTATGTCACAGAACATCGGTATCGATGAGGCTGGTATGAAACAGTCAGTTTGCGACGTGTTTTATGCACGCTTGACCAAAGTGCTTAACAGCCTTTTGTCCGGTGTGAATAAGACACATGCATATAACGGTTGGGTCATGCCTGTCCTCATGTATACCTTTGGCTTACTCAGGTGGAGTCAGACTGAACTTAACGCCCTGGATAGAAAAGTCCGCACTACAATGACGTCCCATAGGATGCATCATCCGAGATCGTCGGTAATGAGGCTGTACTTGCCGCGAAAGCATGGT